AATTCTCTTCATAGTAATATTGTGTTATTCTCAATTTTTATACATTAAATTAGCCTTCGAATTCAATAATATTAATAGTTAAACCTATGCAGTTTAAGAAATCTGATAACCAATCGTAATTTGTTATTTTTTTTTTTTTATATACAGTACAATGTAATAAGTTCGATTTTGTAATTGTCAATAATAAAGCAAGAAAAAGGGTATCCTTAATTTGAAAATCATGTATAAGAGAGGTACATATTATTTTCTGTTAATATACGGTATATAACAAACTACGAGTAGAAGATATTGTTAATACTTCGTATTAACGATATTGACTAACTCTTATAACACTAAATATCTTTAATAAATACACCCGTTTCTATTATTAAATAAATTATCAAAATATCAATTATAATCATGCAATTAATTTTACCAAATCTTGAAATTCTAAATATATGTTTTAATTATGAATGACAAAAGTTTACTATAATTTAAACGGGGTATTTTAATTAATTAAAAATCAAGATAGCGGATTCCACATTCACCACGTGTTAGACTATGGCCACATGAGTTAAATCCGTTTGATTTGATTAATAACAGATTTATATGCTCAAGTACAGAGCGATTTAAGATATAAGTTTTATTTACTTGTTAGTAATTTAAATCTGAAACGGATTATTTTTGTTTTATCTGTTATGGACTATTGAACCGTTCTGTTATAAAAGTTATTGTTAGTAAGAGTATTATTAACTTTTTCTTCTAATTATCGTCGCCATATTAACAGAAAATGGTAAGATTTACCCTCCGAATGAGGGGATCGCCACCCCCAAAGGGTAGCCCTCCCCCGTACGAACAATAAATGTCTAATGAACCACCCCCCTACACGCGACCCTTCGCGAGATATAAGCCCCTGAAGATTCGCCTACGTCATATCCGGTCACGTGACATACTCGAAAACTTATTAGTAATGAAAGTATATATCAAGACTAACAATATTGTCTATCATCTTCATTGAATGAACTCTCTAAAGAAATGAATGGTTCTACCCAACGTTGCCATCCTTACGGGATAAAATTATCGTATCTTTATCCGTAGAAATATTAATTAGGTTCTCATTTCAGAAACGTTTTATTTGCAACTTTTTACAACAAAAAAATTTTAGACCCATTTACAACGAAGTTTTTACGACACCCCCTTATATGGTGCAAAACAAATCTCTTAATGGGCATAATCTATGGGCATAATACTACAATTTCAAGATATGAAACATTAACAAATAAGCAACACATTCTTTATAAACAGTAATTATTTCGTATGCACGAACATTCCAAATTTTTGCCACGTCTGGAATGGTCGCGAGGCCTAATTTAAGAAATGCTATCCTATGTCAAAAAAAGCCCGTTCTAAACGGCTCACTAAACGGAATGTAGGCCTACTCTAATAAAATATATTAACTAATGTAGCACCTATATTTTGTACAAGTAGATGTATAATGGCATTCCGATACAACATTTATTTGTACAAATTTTCTTTGCATACTAATTTGAGCATTTTATCAGTCGGTCCAAAAGTACAGTATAGCAATTAGCAGTCTTGAAGAGTACGAAAAAGATGCGCCTTATAATCGACAATATACAGTAATAGCCAATCTAAGAGTGCGTTCGTAAAATCGAACGAGTTAAACGCGTTACTAACGGGTCGAGAAATAAAAATTTCACTCGATGCGCATGCTGGATGCTGACGTTTCAAACGAAACTGTACCGAAATTCATAAAGTTTACTTTGTTAAGAAAATGGCGCCCGGTTATATCGATGTCTCCAAATATTTCTGCAAAATTTCAGAAATTTTCGACAAAAGGAACAGGAGTTATTAAGCTTCAAAGTGAGCGTACAAAATCCTGCTCCCTCTACACATACGGAAAAACCGCAACTTTTCTTTTCTTTTTTTTTTTGCATTTTTCGCCGTTTTAAGATCCCGACTTCAAAAATATAAATGTTGGGGTCATTTTCTGACCGACTGTCGTACTTTCTCTCTATTACATATAACTTCATACAAGGTGCATTCAACACAGAGTAGGGTTTCTTTCCCGGGATTCCCGCCATTTATTCCCTACGAGAAAAATCCCGGGAAATCCCGCATTTCAATAATAATTTATCATGTCAGGTTTTGTTTCTATTATTTATTATACGAAAAGTTGCATCTTGAAGACTCACTTAAGAGAGAAATTTTGAGGTTTCGTGCTGCATATTATTACCTGTTTTACAAGTCTCTACTTGTTAGTTCATGTAATATCTATGTATTGTGTTACTGTAGCGCATCATTGAACAGCAGAGCACTCGCTGAAAGTAAATATCACTCGTCGCACTTTATTTTTTTATTTCATCTTTAGAAATAAAATAGTATTTTTTTCGTAATCATTAAAACTCCCAATGAAACGCTTTATTTTACTTTCATCTTATAATGTAGGAGAACATAAATTAATTGAGCCTGACGTGTCCGTATGGGTGAGATTGGCCCTACACTTTTAGTTACTTACTAGAAAATAAATTAAATTATTCAAATTTATGATATTCTTGTATGAGATCTTTTATTCATATAAAATTCTATTTTACTATCTCACCCCGGGAAAAGAAATTATTTTTCCCGTAATCCCGCTGGAGGCAAATTTCCCGGGAAATGAGAAACCCTAACACAGAGAGATTACAATCTTATTACTTGTTGGCAATGCAACACCTGGGCGATCTGCCTAGGGCAGTGTTTCTCAACCTCTAACGAATCGTCGCCCCCCTTCTAAGAAGTATCGCCCCCTTCACTACAAAATTCCGATGCCGAGGGACAAGGCTAGCCTAATTCGTACTGCAGTGAATAGACTAGTGACTAGTATAATGTTATTTGTTTAATTATTGTACGATATAACGAATAAAATATCTAATTCTTCTTAATATAATGTTTTACTACATCGCTCAGAAAATTGTTTTTCGCCCCCCAAAATATAAATTGTTACTAATCGCTATCTCAACATGAAAAAACGCCCACATGGGGGCGATATCGCCCCCATTGAGAAACACTGGCCTAGGGGATGCCTTTCCGTGAGGTCTTTTTAAGGGAAACTGGCCCCTATTTAGGCGTTACAGACGTGGAAAAAACCCAGAAAACTCCACGTGGCCAGCCACAAACCCACGACCGAACTCCTAGCGCCAATCTTATTACACTACCTAATGTTAGATGAGAGAAAATTGTTTATTTAACAAACGCTTGTTATAAATAACAAGCAGAAAAGTAATATAATCAGGAATATGTAAATTTTATAAATTTACTTTTGAAGATCTGAAAGAAAACTGAAAATCTCCCCCCTCATTTGTAACGAATCGTTCGAATAGTAGTCGTCTCGCCCAGTGCGCATGATCTGCGGTGACGACGTTTCGAACGAAACTAACGAAGTTCACGAAGGAAAGAGTTAGTTCACTTCGTTAAGAAAATGGCGGCCGACGATATCGATGTTTCTAAATCTACTCGAGTGTTTAAATTGTGAATTAAATGGTGAAATGATCGAAATAACTGTCCACCCGAAGCAATCTAAGAAAAATATTTCGGATAAGGCTGCACTAGCAACATTCGTATCTTCGATTTTAGAAACGTCCATTTAGTTATAAACGAATCGTTCGAAAAGTCTAACGAAATAAGATTAACGATGACGTTATTCTCGTTTAACTCGTTCGACTTTACGAACGTAACCTATATAACCAATTGAACACGTGTCCATCCGTCCGCGTAACGGTATGCCAAAAACGGACACTACAGGCGCCCTAGCGATGATTTTAAATTAACGATATATTCCTATTACAAATAAAAATAATTTATTATTGATATGAATTTATTATTTATACCACGGAATGGTATAAATAATTATTATATGCCTTGATCCTTGTTTACAAATAATTATTATGCCTTGATCCGCACGTTTACAACATCCCGTGATTCAGCGAACGGCGCGCATTGACTCACGGGAAATTTGTTGAAAAAAATGGCGGATACATTTAAAATCGAGGTTTACAAGCGAAGGTAAATAAACAAATTAAACTATTTTAAAGTTTTACAGAATGTTTAATAAGTAGAAATGTAGATCCGTATGACGCAATTGAGACTTTAACAGAGCTGTAGAGCATTTTGATAGGAACAAAAGTCAAAGGAACCGTGTCTCTTGGGAATTTGTAAAGAGCGCCCACTAGGGGGCGTTCCGGGCTACTACAGTAGTTTAATATGAAACAAATTCTTGATTAATACATCAGCTGTATTTAAGAAATTTGTGACTATAGTTTCAGTACTATAATTTACATTAAAGTTCTTTAAAATTTTTAAGGACTAAATGTAGTTAAAACTTATATATTCAGATTATCACTAGTTACAAAATTATTACAACTGCATGGGGCTATTTTTAGTTGGAATACACCATTACATCTTATCTACAGATAGTGTAAATAGTAGTCTATAGCCAGTATGTAGTCCTGGTAGTAAGATTTTATAGAAAACAAAAAACACAGACTTTAGCAAAATATTTATTTTGCTAAATATGCTGATATATCAGCCCTGGGAAATTTTATAACAACAAAATTGCTTTGAAAACTTAATCAATTTCAATAATTTAAGCTTGTGTAATCATTTAATTAATTTCTAGATGTTTAATGAATGTTGTCTTCATCCTATAAAATCATATCTACATGAAAAAACTTCTAGTCTAAAAATTGATAATTTTGATAACCATAATATTTATTACAGTAATTTAATAAATATTTAGACATATTAAATTTTTTAAACTAGAATTTACAAAACTTTATGTATTATTTAATGGAGGAGAGATTTTTATTTTTATTTTTGAAAATAAATATTTAAAAAACACACAAAGTTTTGCTACAAAGTGCTTTTAGAATTTAACATTGAAAAATATATACTTTCCCTATTAAATTGTATTATTATTTTGATGGTAATATTAGATTTGAAATATATAACAACAAAAAATATCGTTTGTAAAAAGTTTTATAAAACTTTTTGAAGAATCCCCACGCAGCAACTATACATAATAAAGTAACTTTTTATAAAATTCATATTAATACAGTATATTCCCAATAAATATTAAATTTTCAGGTAGGGCACATACATTGTTTCTTCAAGCTTCAAGTAGTTCTCCTACAAGAAAAAAACATTAGTAATTATCATTTTTGTTTCCTTCATATTTTGTTTTTTTAAGATTATTCATATAAATTTTTGAAATTGTAACAACAGAAACCAAATTCCAAAATATATCAATAAAATAGTTCTTTTCAAACTGAAGATAAAGCATAAAACTATTTCTTTAGATTTTTTTAAAATTCTTAAATTCTTAATATATAAATGTGCATATCTGGCAAGTAAAGCTATGTCTAGAAGCCTATAAAGAAAGATTGAAAGAGCTTTGTTTTTATCAATTATGTAACTCAATTTATTCAGTTTGTTACATTTTAAATTAAAGATACTTTCCAAGAGTTTAAAAATCTTTAATACCGGTGGACTTAGTACTTTTGAGCAACCTGAAAATGAGCATCACTTGCTCAAAAGTACTAAAATGCCAGCATTAAAGATTTTTAAACCTTAAAAAAGAAGTTTTATCTCTGGTTTACATGTATTTGTGAAGTAATGTAGTCCTTTTTAAAAATAGCACATACAGTATATAATTCACATTGGATTAACAAGAAGAAAACTGTTTAATTAATATATATATATATATATACTTTTGAAAGTATCTGATTATTTGTCTGCTACAGAAATTACAAGGGGAACTATCTAGAGCAGTCATAAGCTATCTGTAAACTGAGGTCGTAATGTGTGACCCTGTGATTTTGGAAACAATTTTATTTTTTGCATTGTGCCACTATTTGACTCTAATCGAGACAATATTCATGATGAAGAACATTCAAACTAAACTTAACTAAAGTAAAGGATATAATAAATTATATATTACTAATTTGCATATCATTAGTGTAAATTTTAGTACCTAGTGTACTGGCAATTTTGGACTATGTTGATATTTGCGGGCTAAGTCTGCAACTTCAAAATGGAAAAATGGATGTGGTCTGCTAAAAAGCATAAGTTCACTTCAAACTGCATCTAGTAAATGTTGCTCATCACTGATGAAGCATGCTCCAAAGAGATCTGACAAATTTAACTTTTACAAAGAAACTAATAATATGGTTTAAACTTAAAGTTACTAAAGTGACATCCCTGGTGATCCCTGGAAAATAGAACCAATGTTTTTGCGTAATAAACAATCATAACAGAACTCTGTTTGCAAATATCAATTTCCAGCAAATACATTTATAAGAACAAATATTTTCAGTATACTGTATTTCATAAGCCTACATCAAGTTTCTAATCTATCTATAGCTTCCAATCTGATAACATTTGAAATTATAGTATAACTATAATTTCAAATGTTAAATTATAAAACTTATACTGATAAAGAATAAATAGAACATCATGCTTGAAATGATCACAGTTTTAAGTCTAAGTTTGTTGAACTAATATAGGAAACACTGTTAGAGTTAGCTTTACATAGTTAAACATTCGAAGGATTACTGACGATTTGACTTGCCTTACAGAAGTGGGTGAAATTCGTGCAATTAATTTTATCGGCAATTTTGTCATGAATTTATTGAAAACATATTGTTTAATATACTGAAATAAGAAAAAATAGCCACGAAGTCCATGAAAGGTTAGTTAAAACAAAATACATGGTTAAGATGCATGATTATTTAAAAAAACAGGATTTTGAGAATAATCATGCAGACAATCAGTAACAGACAAAACAGCAAGATACAACTAACATACACTAGTAAAAAATAAGCATAGATAACTCATTTTGTCAAAAGTTAAAATGATGAAAACAATCAAATAGATATGGCAATGATTCTGACAACCAATCAACAAAAGTTATCAATATTAACATAAAAATCTCAACATAAAAATTAACATAAAAATGTATTTCTAGAAAATACATTTATTAAGAACAAATGTTTTCAGTATATTTCATAAGCCTACATCAAGTTTCTAATCTTACTTCCAATCTGATAATATTTGAAATTGGAAATGTGACACAGGCTTATGAAATATGCCAAAAACATTTGTGTTCTTAATAAATTTGCTTGCTAGAAATGCAAGGATGGCATTGAGAATTTCTTGTTAATCAGTTTCAGATTTTTTCATCAGTTTTATCAATATTAATCTGTAAATTTGTGGAAAATTGTAAATATGAAAAATTTATCATTACACTTATAAGTAGTTTAATAAAAATTTATGCCCTACAGTTCTTATTAATTCTTTTGAAAATTACTATTTTAAAAGATATTATAAGAAACTGATAGAGTAAAAATATGAAGCTGAAAGTTTTGTTTCTTCTTAATCTGTTGCTTTCTCTCTAAATTTAATATATTATTTTTATAAACTCAAGTAACTGCTTATAATTTTTATAAAATCATCCACACTCTTGGAATAAAATTAATATTCATAAAAAATAAGTAGCATATAAAATATCAAATAAATTATTTGATGTTAACCCATTAAAGTCTAGGGGTACGATAATGTACCAGTATACGTAAGTAGATATTTCACGATTTGTCATATTTCACAAACTTCTCTGCAAAATTTCTACAGAGTTTTTATTTTAGGACTTACTTTATCTGTCATGGCAGCAGTTTAATTCTTTTCATTTGGCAGTAAATCAAACGTAAAAAAAGTAGTGATCTTCTTAACATGAATTTCAGACAATGTTAAGTTTATATATTTTTAAAATCTTTATTTTATTATTTAATAATTGGGATCTATGAACCTAGTTTGTTCACAACCTATACTTTGAAAGAATTTTTAATAAGTTTTAGTTAATTAAGCCTTTTTTCATTGAGAAAGTCAAGACAATCTTGATAGTACATTTCTCAACTATTCAGCTTTTCCACTACCATGTATATACATGTTAGTTTGGTGTTTCGTTAGTGCAAAACTTAAATTTTTTCAAATTTAAATTAATTTCTATTCAAATTTTGGATTATTTTAATCTAATATTAATTTATGGAATGATTAAGCTGAATCATGTGCACAACAGACCTTTTAGGTAAAGGTATTTGGGCCTAAAAGGTCAAAAACCCTACCACCTATACGGGATCATCGAGGTAAATCCGGAAAAATCACTATATAATGAAAAAAAAATAAAGAGAAATTTCAATATATTCTTGTGAATTACAAAATGAAATTATTCTATGTAACATCTGTTGGTTTCCATGAGCTGGAGAAGGTCATGAAAATCAAGAGGCTACATAGAAATGGCTGCAAGTGCATTTGACCTGCTCCTTATCCATGTACACCATCACCTCTGTGATGGAAGCCTTTAGAGCATCACTGGTATTGTGATGCTTCACATTTTCCTTTGCATCAATCAAGCCCCACACACGGCCAGTTTTTGACCATTAGCCACCAGTATGCTACAGATATTTGACCACCTCTATCAATGCTGATCACGAGTAAATTCATAGCCTAACCCAGGGGTGGACAACAGTTTTCACCCCCAGGCCAAATTGGAAAGAAAACTTTTTTCACAGGCTGAACCAGAGGCTGCCCTAGGACGATTTTTAGGTGGTGAGAGATCTCATTGTGGTGGTGTCACTCCCATACAGACTAAATTGTACATAAAGATTACATATGCATTTTTCACATTATCATGCTTTATCAACATTCTACGCTGTACTTAAGAGATTTGTAATGGAGCATTAACTCTAAATGCACAGTAAGTTGTTGACCTTTTTTTTTTTAGGCGTCAGAATTTTTCATCGAGCTATTCGGACTTCAGTAGCTAATACTGAAAGATTAATCACGGCCACATATATTCATTAGGCAGGCCAGATCCAGCCCATGGGCCATATGTTGGCTATGCCTGGCCTAACCTAACCCATGAGAGCCTTCTGGTGTTTCTTATGACAGGGTAAAAAAAGTCCATAAAAATATTTGATATATATATATATATATTTATTCAAATCAAGCCGCCCCGTAGATAACAGGTGCTTTTGTTCAAGGTTAAATTTTAGTGTCGTCATAAAATATAATTTGCAAATTAAAATGAAATTAATTTTAAAAAATTTTTCTTATTTAGTATATAAATCTATACTAATATTATAAAGAGGTAATGTTTGTAAGTAAGAAGTTTGGATGTAGCAGTTAATCTCCGAAACTACTCATCTGATTTCAAAAATTCTTTCACCAATATTTAGAATGGAACTTCAGGGTGGACATAGGCTGTATATTATTCCGTTAAACATTCACATAAATTAAAAGATATCTAGGTTAAGGCTTTTATGTCCAATAGATGGCGCTACAAGTACGACTCCTTAAGTTTGCTTTTCTGTGAGACATTATGCTTTTCTGTGAAAATGAACTAAAGCAGATCATCTTCTATCTATCTATATAAATATAAATGTAATGTTCGTTTGTTCCTACTGATTCCTTTGAAATTTTGACACAACGCTGCATTTGAATAAGCATGTGTTTTTATATAATATAGGTGTCGAAATTCCCCTCACTGAAGGGAGATGGTTAGGTTTAAGGCTTACGGTAAAGAACTTGGCTTCTATTATACTATTTTAAATGCGGGTTTTTGCATTTTTGATTGCGTTTTAATAGGGTACGTCAAGAGAATGTACACTAAGAAGAAATTTTTCGAAAAATTCCCCCACGGGGAAGTGTTATACATTTATAATAGATTCATTTTGAGCCACAACAACGCATGGCGGGGTCTACTAGTACATTATATATGTGTGTATATAAAAATTAATTTAAATATTCATATTTAAATTAATAATGTTCGTGCATCTCTTTATTTAAATTTCCTTCTGGTTCTGTCATCAATTAAAACAATGATGTAAGTTTACAAAAAAAATACCATGGGGTGGATTTGGTCTAGTTTAGTTAGTTAAGTTATGACAATGCAACATTTGGGCCATCTGCCTAAAGGGGATGCCTTTTGGGAGGTCTTTTTAAGGGTAACTGGTCCCTATTTAGGCATTACAGACATGGAGAAAATGCAGAAAACTCCAGGTGGCCAGCCCATTCTGAAGAGGTGCTGCAAACCCAGGACTGAACTCCATGTTCAGGGAACAGAACCATTTGGT